CTCTTCCCTACCCGAAGGCATCTCAGAGCGGCTTACAATCTCCTTTCCCTTCCCCTCCCCACAACAGACACCCTGTGGGGTAGGTGGGGCTGAGAGAGCTCTTTCCAGAACTGTCCTTGAGAGAACAGCTCTGAGAGAACTTGTGACTGACCCAAGGTCACACCAACAGCCACACGTAGAGGAGAAGTGGGGAAACAAACCCGGTTCTCCCAGATTAGAGTCCGCGCTCCTAACCACTACACCAAACTGGGTCTCCAAGAACACACCAAATGTGAATTAAAACGGACATCTCCATTTCCCAGAATGCCATGTGGTTCAGTCTTAAAGAGGCAGGAGTATGGACACAATCAAACATCAAGCTCTCATCCACTACTGCTCCCTGTCATGGAAGCTGCAGTCGAGCCCAAGGTTTTCCCCACTCACTCCCTCCCCTCCATTTCAGCTACTCAGTTGCCAACACAACCTCCCGCAACACAACCTCCTCCCCCAGCAATGTGTTCTTGTGCAGCCCCCTTGACTTCAAAGGCGATTGCAGGGCAGAACTTTGCAAAGAATTCCACCCTTGGTACTGAAAAAGCATTTCAGCACTTCTTGATCTGCAGAAGGTAATTTGGTTCAAATCAAATGCTGTCAACGGGAAGATAAAGCCAGGGGCATGTTGGGGGAGAAGAGACCCCGAGTGAAAGACAAAACTCTGAACTCGTTTTGCCCCACACATACGTACACAAAACGTCCAAGTTCCCTTTTTTCTTCCACCTGTGCAATCCACCAGAATCATCCAATCTTCTCTGCTGGGTTGAATGAAAACTGATCTGTGCACCTGGCCGTCTCCATGCTCTTGGGGGCCACCGAACGAAATTCTTGTTATACTGAAAGATGTCTCTGGTGCTGAGTCAAAAGAATTAATCCAAAGTTTATTTTTAATAATTCTCCAAGCAGGGCCACCTGAAGATAACACTCGAAACAGATCCTTCGATGAGTATCTGAGAGACAGGAAAACGAGTTACACGCTAGACATGCTCAGACTGTTATTTCAGCTCCCGGCAGATTTCCAAATTTTGCACAGTGCAGATCTTTTTAAAAAAAAATCATTGTGTTTATTACAACATATATACCAAACAAGAACACATCAGTATCATATAACCTTACGATAAGTAAGATATTGAACATATGATATGGATAAACATATAGAGCAGAGGTCCATCAGTGGCTATTAGCCACAAGGTATAGATAGGAACTCTTGGTCTGGGGCACGTGATGCTCTGTATTCTTGGTGATGGGGGGGCCAAAAGTGGGAGGACCTCTAGTGTCCTGGCCCCACTGGTGGACCTCCTGATGGTACCTGGTATTTTGTGTCCTTCTGCTTAGATAGCCCTTGTGTCCTTCCACTTAGATGGCCTGTTTTCATCTATAGATGCACTTTAGACTTAGTGGAAACTATTGATTGACTTGTTATAGAATCATGCAGCACGCAAACTGTGAAACTCTGCTAGTCAGGGCCGGCCCGCTCACTAGGTGAGCTAGACTCTCGCCTAGAGCGCGGGGCCATCATGGGGGCGCCAAAAGCCCCCTGCCAAAAGCGCTGCAGGCCCAGGCCACCGCCCCCTCCCCCCCCGCATGACTTTCTGGGTGCATGCTGCTTCAGCACACCCCTTTGTTGTTCTTTCTGCTGGGAAATGGGAGCCAAGGGCAGCTGTGGGGAGCCGACCAGCCGCAAGGTCACCGCTCTGGGCTGGCCTTTCCCACAGGAGCGGAATGCCTGCCGTTCCCGCGGGTCCCCCTGGGAGGGGGGCAGCCGGTCCAGTCCCTCAAGCAGTCAGGGGCGCGGGGGAGGCGGAGGAGGCTGGGGGTCAGTTTCCGGCCCTTCCACCACAGAAGGTGGCGGCAGTGGAGATGTCTTCTGGCTGGACCCCCGCCCCAGAGGCCTGCATCCGCCACGCAGCCGGGCCCACCACTGACCTCGCAGCCCTGCAGCCGGCCTTCCCCAAAGCCTGCATGTCCAGCTGGCGTTACCCAGGACCAAGACTCTGGTAAGTCACCCCGTGGCCTCCAGCCCAACTGCACAAGCAGCCCAAGGCAGCCATGGGAGGGTGGCTAAACTGAGAGCCCATCAAGGGCAACGAAGTTTGCCGCTCCGCTTTCCCAGCTCGCCTCAGAGTTTCCCCGCCACCACTGCCGCTGCCACGCTGCCCGCCCACAATGCCCCCCCCCGCCGAAGCACCCGGCCCCACACCAGCCCAGGGCAATGTGGGGGGGAGGCACAGGATGGCTGACTCTGAAATGAACTCTGTGTGTGTGTGTGGCGCGTACTCAGCAGCTGGACTTCCTTCTCTCCAGGCCCCGCCTGGAGGTTGGCAACCCCATAATTGGTGGGTGCGTGGGGGGGGCACCAGAAGGTAGCTGGCCCTGCTGCAAGTATGGCTGTCTTAACAACAAAAAATACTAGGAGATAAAAATTTATATTTATGGTCCCATTCAGATGAAGATCTGCAAAATGACCCTCCTTTTTTCACTTGTATATGAGTACCAAACATTGACTGTTGTACTTCTGTTACAATATAATATTGCAATCACAGATTTGTAATTTTTTGTAATTTTTTCTTTAGCGCATGCATACAGCTTTTTTCTTTGTTGCACTGATACCTGGTATTTTTGGCCACTGTGTGACAGTGTTGGACTGGATGGGCCATTGGCCTGATCCAACATTGGCTTCTCTTATGTCCACAGAACATCATACAAAAACACTTCTCTACTATATTGCATTAGAGAAGTGGATCATAACACTGAATTTAAATCAATCACCTACCAGCCTTTTTAATGTCAGATATTAATCAAGTTCATATGAACCAATATTTTAGGAATTTTTTAGGAACTACATTGTGAGAAGCCAGATAACCTAATACAGGAAACCACTTTACTACAAATTCAGACTATATATTCCTATCCATTTTACTTTATTTACTTTATATATAGATTCCATGTCTTGTTATGCCCCACATTTATGGAAGGCCCTGCCTCGACTCTCCATTTAGCAGCTATTGCAGCTTTTGCTGCAATCGATAATGTGGCTATTAATTCTTTAGTAGATTTTGGTATATCTAGATCTGACCAGTAGTTTAGAAATGAGAGCTCTGGTTCCATAGGTATATTAAAACTACCCATAACATAAATCTGATTTAAAACCTAGGCACAGTGCAGCTTGTCACACAGTTGCACCTTTCTAAGCCCATTGACTTCAATGGAGTGAGAAGGGCTTAACTCTGCTTAGGACTGCACTGTCAGGCAGTGCATTGGCTGCTGCACTTCAGGCTCGCAGCATTCCAGGCAGACGAGCATCTGTCAGTAGCAGCAATGCTCTGAGGCCAGATCTTCCTTACCGCCTCTATCTCTGTCACTCAAGACAGGCTGGATTCCAGACAGGTTCCCACTGGAAATGAGTTGGCCACACCTGTGTCCTTCACATAGGGTTTGATGTGCCGACATTGGCAGGTGATGCTGTTCCACGGCTTCATGCTGAACAGGTTCTCTTGCTTATTGCTGCAGAGCCAATGGCTGGTAAAGGGAAAGGGCCATGGCTCAGTGGTAGAGCATCTGCTTGGCATTCAGAAGGTCCCAGGTTCAATCCCCAGCATCTCCAGTTAAAAGGACCAGGCAGGAGGTGATGGGAAAGACCTCTGCCTGAGACCCTGGAGAGCTGCAAAGAGGGGCCGAGCCTCAGTGGAAGAACCTCCGCTTGGCATGCAGAAGGTAGAGGGGAAAGACATGGAAGAGTGGAAGCGTATATTGATCTATGGATGCATTGTTATTAAGAATTCTGTACAGGCATTTAAATAACAGGGCAACGGAGGAGTCCATATGCTCTGTTTCCACCTCAGAAAGTAGACCAGCTATTCTGAAACTCCAAAATCTAATTCTAAGAAACAGGGGGTGGAGCGGGTCTGAAGATCTCTAAACGATCTTCTTGTGGATATTTCAAAATCTACTTTTGACAGACAGGAGGGATATTCTAGGGCATAATGTCCCCTCTGCTTCCAGGTCAGTGCTCCACAGGCCTCTGGAACTGACCTCTGGTTCCCAGACCAATATTTTATTTAATTATTGTAAGCCATATTGTTTCAACTGCAAATTCTTTGGGGACAGAAATGCACTGGCAAAAACTGTTGCTCTGAGCCTGTAGGGAGGGTATAACTAATATACATAAATACATCTCGATCTTCAGCTTTAAAAAACAGCTTGAAAGAAAAGAACTATGCATTCTAGATTTTCAGACGTGCTTAACAGAAGACAGGGGGTATTAGAAGTAGAGATGGTCAAGCAATGGCCAGCAATGAGGAAAGATCCCTGTCCATGGTGCTGACCTCAAAACCAGTGAGATCATAACCCAGTCTCCCCCTTTTCCTCTAACATGAGTTCGATGTCACGTGATCAGGAGGGGCTGTGGTTCAGTGGTAGAGCATCTGCTTGGCAAGCAGAAGGTCCCAGGTTCAATC